TATATATATATATATATATATAGACACACACAATTATCATGAGGAAATATAATAGATAAATTTTATACGATTTTTAGTCGTCCGATTCGATATAACAGTTTAAATTGCAATTTTACACGACTATCATAACATATTTTTTAGTTATCATATTGTTCGGTTTTGTGTTTATGATTAATTTTATTGTATTTTATATGTTTTTTAAAAAATAAATAATAATATCAGTAAAAGGTAGAAACGATAAAGTTTGAACGTAATATATACAAATTACAGAACTAAACGAAATCAAACCCATGTCGTTTTTATATTATATTAACTGGTAATAAAATAACAGAAAACAAAACGCCAAATTCACACATAACTTATCATTGCAAATTACATATTTAAGTAAAAAACCTATTTTAAATATATATTCTAAAAAAACACGTCATATAACACATAAACAATGGATATAAAAATGAAATGTATTTTAAAACTATAAATTTTTAAATATATATATATATATATATATATTTTGAAACATGTTCTTTAAAATAAAATTTGTTATTTTTTATTTAATGTATCTTTAATATTTAAGTCCATGAAAAATGAACTCGGTTTAAGGGTCGTTTACCAAATGCTTACTCGGCTAAATGTTTACCAAGTTACAAATGCATTAAATGACGGATCAAGTAACGTTAACAAAAACAAAACAAAATACCCCTAAAATTTGAATCTTGTACAACAAAAATAAAAGACTGAAGAGTAAATAAATCAAATAATAAACAAGAACAAAAAATTCAAGGGTAGATAAACGAACCTTTGAAGATTTTGAATCCGTTTGAGCGAAGATGGAAAACCAATTGATTTATACTGATTTACATAGAATGCTACTTCTAATAGTCAACATCGCGACTCCAAATGATGTCAATTTATATATTAAAGATATATAATATGATGTCTTTTTACGGTGGAACGGAATGACAATGTTATATAAAAATGATATGGTAGATATTAGTAATTTAAAAATAATTATTAGTTGATTTTGTGTCTAGCTAGGAATACTTTATTAAAACGGTTTAATATAAATTATTAGTATTTACTGAATTCAATGTTATTTCTAAAGATAAAAACGATACATTAAAGAATTTTTTTTTTCATACTTATCGAGGACCTCTTTTTCACATTTCGCTCAGGACCCATAAAATGTCATGACTGGACCTGTTTACACCCTTCTCATAAATACGAACACCGATCAAATATTTCACTTGGCCTTCCCAAATACATATAGGTGCATATACACATGCATACCGAACAATCTAAATTTAATCGAATAATTTGGGTCGTTCGATTCTATTCAGTTTGGTCCAACACCAAAAACGGAAAACCAAACCGGACCATGCAATTTTTTGAATGAAAATTGAATTAAACTCGTCCAATAAATGAAACATAATATATAATTCGAATTTAGTGAAGTGGATTCCGTTACTCGACAATTTTCAATTATACGAACATGCATTTATGATATATTGTCGTTGGTAAACGATACAATTTTTTGCAATTATGGTACTCGACTTTTAGCTGACTAAATCCCAAAACTCATTATTATCGTCATATGCATTTAAATGAGAGAAATCAGATGTATTTATATTTATACAAACGAGGGATAAATCTGTTGGCGGAATTTTTTTCTGCAGCTCAATTTCCTTTCAAAGGGAAGAAGGTTAAGGAGGGCTTGGAAGTAATTCTCATGGCGTTTATTTGGATGATTTGGACAAATCGAAATGCGTTGGTCTTCAACAAAACTGGTAAAAATCCGATGGTAATTTACAAGGATATTGTGTTTTTTTCTTTTAATTGGATTAGACTCAGATCGAAGTCTTGTAATTCTCTCGATTGGAATGTTTGGTGTACCAGCCCTTTAACGGCTCTTTTGTATGTGCTAGCATCTTGCTAGCCTCGGTGGTTTCTTAATAAAATTATTGTTTCTAAAAAAAATAAAAAATAAAAATCTGTTGCATCTGTAAAAGAAAAATCTAGATGTATTATAATATATTAGTTAAAAAGCTCCCATCAACTAGAAGACAAAAACCCCAATCATTCATTCAGCCCCTAATACGAGCTTTCGTTGAAGTATAAATAGGAGACGAAGCACAAAGAGGATTTGCAAGTCCTTCTCGTTCTTGATCAATGCCTTATTCACCACCATCGGAATATGAAGCCGGCAAAGACCATAACCACCACCTGCCGCCACCGTCACCGCAATCAAAGGTTGGCCAACGGAAGCCCGGTGGATGGAAGTCCATGCCTTACGTACTAGGTAATAAGTACTATGAGTTATTAACGTTCTAATCATCGTTGTATGTGATTTATTTCATCTTGCGAAAATGGATTGAAAGAACCCGATGTTGTAAGAATAAACTATTTTTCAAGGGAAAACACAATTTTTTTGATTTTTTTTTGGCATTTATTTGTTATTTATCGAGAACTTTCTGTTTATATATACTACTTTTCATTGCGCATTTTTTTTTCACGAGAACGGTTGTTTGGAAAAACGAAAGTTTAAATGCTATAATTGTTCTGTTTCCCAACATTATTTTCTTAATAATAATCTTATTTATCGTTCTTGAATAAATGTACAGGAATGGAGTCATTCGAGAGATTGGCAACTATCGGGTTGCTAGCAAACTTTACAGTGTTTCTAATGACGGTTTTTCATATGACACAAGTATCGTCATCGTATTTGATAAATATTTGGTCTGGAGTCGGCAACTTTACCCCTCTAGTAGGTGCCTACATATCTGATGCTTATGTCGGAAAATTTCGGGTTATTGCATTCTCTTCATTTGCGTCTCTTCTCGTAAGCTCTCTCTCTCCCTCCCTCCCTCCCGTGTATGAACAATTTAATAAAGATTCAGAATTTGATACTATTCGATCTTTACATATAAGGTCAATTCTGTCTTTTTACAAATTACTGAAATCCATAAATTCAATATAAAATAATTGAGGATATGTCAATTCAAAAGTTTTATTTGATAAAATTGGAAGAAAAAAAGAATACTAAAATAAATTGAAATAAACATTTATTGAATTTCAACGTTTATTTTAAATGATTAAAATAATTAATATAAAAATATGAAAAACTTATTCTCGATAGATATATGTATCAATCTTTACATTATTTACTATGACAATTTGTATTAAAATATACGTAATTTATTTGGTTTTTTTAATTTTAAAGAATATGACATACCGACTCAAATAGGACAGCTTAATGATCTCGGTAGATATAATTATTTGATTATAAAATTATGATATAGTTTTGCCACAACAGGTAAAATTTTCGGTGTTTACCATATTCATCCAATAAGATAAATAATTCAATAAATGCTTAACGGATAAGCATTTATTAAACAACCTTTGTTCTTATCTTATTTCATCTCGTTATAAGTTTTGACGTATATTGTTGTATCATTTGTTTTTGGTTTTAAATTTAATTTTATATTGCTTTTTTTTTTTTAAAGAGTATTTTATGAAAATAAAATGATTGTTAGTGAATTAAACGGTTAAATCGTTACGTCATAAAATATGTAAGGTTATTAATTTAGTCGATACGGTTCGCTTCTCAATGATGGGTTGGGTGGTATGATCTCTTCATCGGATAGGGATGGGCCGGTCGACTTAATATCAGGGCCCCACTCTCCACGATATTTGGTCAATTATTTTCACCCTAAATATAATTTTATAAATATAAATCTTTTTATATTTACTGAAAGGGTACTCGTACAATACAACACGATACGTCTTGATTTGAATATCTTGTTTTATTTTTTATTTCAGTCGATGTTATAATATGATTTTATGTGATTTTGAAAATGCGACAATGTTTTTATTTTTAAAAAAATATAAATTTGAAGATATTATAAAAATTTGACAAAAATATATTAATATTAGTATCAAATTAACTATTTAAAATTTCTTATTTTTTGTTTATTTTTTAATTCAATTTTTTTATTATAATTTATTTTATGTTCAATAACGAAGTAATTTATATTTGATTTAATAATATGTTTTTTTATAAAGATAATAATTAATTGTTTTGTTAGAATTAGATAATTATTTTAATTATATTTTAGATTTTTTTATATTTTAAAATGAGATATTTATCCTCTATTTGATTATGTTTATATGCAATTAGTTACATGAATTTAAACATGGAGCTTTAATAAGTTGTATTTACGCACAATTTACTTGTAATCTTGAATTTTAAGTAATATGCGTTAATAAACAGTACTTCATGCATAAAAAATATTTTTTAAGAGTTTTTGTCAAATGTTTTATAATATAGTATAGATTAATTACATATATTTAAAAGCATGTTTAATAGTTATGTTATATATATTTTTTCCTTATAAATTTATGAAATTCTAGATAAAAATTTAGCGTAGTTGTTATAGTAAAATTTTCTCTAATTTCTAAAATAACATAATTATATAATAGAAATTTTGATGGTTTAGGAGAGCTTTTTTTGTTCGAGTAATTATGTTATATTGTATGGTGAAATATAAAAAATGGAGAGAAAAATATGAAAATCCTTAAATTTAGAAAAATTTCTAAAACTCGATATAAAAGATAGAAATATTATTTTTTATTTTCCACCAATAAAACGTATTAAAAATGATTTTTTTATGAGAAAGAAAAATAATATTTTACACGATGAATATATTATTCTTAATAATATAGTTGATATTAGAATTGCTAAAATAAAAAAGCTATTGGAGTTATATGTATTTTTTTTAAAGATTTTAACTTTTAATATTTTATTTCAGAAAAAATTATAGTATACTTATTGAGAATGTTATAAGGTATAACACCAAAAAGGTCATTCGTTTCATGATTTGTTTTCTAAAATCTATTCGTGACGGGTCCTTTACCAAACATTTATTCAGTAAGTGTTTACCAGTAAAATTTAGCATTATCATTTATTTATTGGGTAAGATTTTAGTTCATTAAAATGACATCGTATGCAACAATTTACCTGGTAAGCGATTAGCGTGGAAAGAGTCGTTGCCCTCACTTACCGGGTAAGACTCTTGATTCTTGTCTCGCTCTTACCGGGTAAGATTTTTGGTTTTTATCATATTCATCTGATAAGATAATGTAACTTGGTAAACGCTTACCCCAGTAAATATTTGGTAAATAGCCCCTAACTAAAGAAATTACTCCATACTCATAAAATATCATGTTTTATATCCTATATTTAGTTTTAAAATATCTGTAACAATTTGTCTCACATGAATAGAAAATGAGATTCGTAAACTATATATAAGCTACCAATAACTTTCATCATGGTTTTAAATTGAATTCAAAGTTATTAAACCAGTTGTTCTTTGGGTTTTGAATGTTACATATCTCATCCACATTTCAAACACATTCTAAGTGAATATTCAATTACGAACGTATCTTTTAAATCACACGTTATAATTAATCAATTGATGATTATCTTGTTTGCAGGGAATGATGACCATGACCCTAATCGTGGCAATCCCAGCCTTGCACCCACCATCATGCACCCCTCAACAAACCCACCTGAACCAGTGCCAGGGTCCAACCACCCTCCACATGGGTGTCTTGATCCTAGCCTTAGGGTTCTTATCCATTGGGTCAGGTGGGATCAGACCATGCAGCCTCCCCTTTGGTGTGGACCAATTTGACCCAACCACTGATGAAGGTAGAAAAGGCATCAATAGTTTCTTCAATTGGTACTACACCACTTTCACCATCATTTTGCTCATTGCCCTAACCCTTGTGGTCTATATCCAAGACTCAGTGAGTTGGGTTTGGGGGTTTGCCATCCCAACCATTCTCATGGTCTGCTCCATTGTGTTGTACTTTGTGGGTACTAAGTTGTACGTGTACGTCAAACCCGAAGGAAGCGTTTTTACCGGAATCTTTCAAGCGTTTGTCGTTGCTTATAAGAAGCGAAAACTTAAGGTTCCTGACGCTAATGAGATTGTGATCGATGTGAAATTTTACGACCCTCCGTTGAAGGGAACGTACGATATCCCGAAGCTTCCGTTAACCGATAATTTCAGGTGATTTAATCTTTTTAATTATGAAATAGTTGAAAGGGTCAATTTCATTGGCGTAATGTAAAAGTCAATTTTTTTTCTTTAATTATTAACCTGGATATTCGACCCGCTATGCGAGCCGACTAATCCTAGGGCGACCACCTACTTTGCAAATAGTCCGGAGTCACCGCATTTGAACCTTTGTGGCCACAAAGGGATTTTTATCTTTTTTTGGATTTGAACCTGGAACCTCCTAGTACTTTTGACCTTTGGAGTCAAGTTCAAACCAATTAGGCACCACCCGCGTGGTTATGTAAAGTGAATTTTATTGCAGTGAATTATGAATATGTTGCTCATTTGTATCGTTATGTTGTGTTTCTAGGTTTCTGAACAAAGCTGCGGTTATATTAAACGGCGAAATTACTTCGGATGGCTCTCGAGTTAACCCGTGGAAGTTAGCGAGCATACAACAAATCGAAGAAGTAAAATGCATACTAAAAGTTATTCCCGTTTTAGTTTCCGGAATCATTTGTTTTATCGCGATAGCACAACAAGGGACTTTCACGATATCGCAAGCCCTAAAAATGGATCGACACCTCGGTCCTCATTTTCAAATCCCACCCGGCTCACTTGCGGTCTTTTCCATGATCACCATCGGGATATGGCTCCCATTTTACGACCGTATCCTCGTTCCATCGCTTCGAAAAATCACGAAAATCGAGACCGGCATCACACTACTCCAAAGAATCGGGATCGGCGTCGTTTTCTCGATTTTATCAATGGTCGTGGCCGCAATGGTCGAGAAAATGAGACGTGAGTCGGCCGTGCACCACAACCAAAGCGCACCCTTATCGGTCATGTGGCTGGTCCCACAACTGGTCCTAATGGGATTCGCTGAGGCATTCAATATTATTGGTCAGATCGAATTTTATTACAAAGAATTCCCTGAAAACATGAAAAGTTTTGCGAATTCGATGTTTTTCGTGACCGTGGGCATGGCTAATTACTTCAGTAGTGCATTGGTGATGGTCGTGCATAAGGTCACGGGGAAAAATGGTCGACCCGATTGGTTAACGGCAAACATTGATGCAGGGAGAGTTGATTACTTTTATTACGTGATCGCTGGTCTCGGAGTCGTTAACATGATTTATTTTCTAATAGTCGCTTCTCGATACGAATATAAAAGCAAGATGGAAATCAGCGAAGACGAGTCCCGGTTTGATGTCGAGTTAAACAACATCAAGATATGATGTCATCATAGTAGATTGTTTACGAATAGTTTGTATTCGATCGGGTTAGTATTTGAAAAACACACACACACACACACACATATATATATATATATATATATGTGTGTGTGTGTGTATGTATGTATAGGTTATTTAGGATAATGAAACATAACTTCTTAGTCTATAATCCACGTAATCAGTTTTATAATGTAACTGATAATTTCACATTCATGTTATTAAATGTTACAAGATGAACAAACTACCGGTTAAAATAAGTATAAAAAATAATAAATCAAAGGTTTATTATGTAGATTGAGAAAAAAACAAACATTTGACTATGTTTTGATGGATTTTATTGTTTTAGGACATAGGTAACAATAAATTAACCTATTAAGGTAAGTTCAACTGACAATAAGATTTGGACATTTGAGGATTTATCTCAGAGATCATCAGTTCGAGTCCTACAAATCCACTGAGAATTTTTCTCACTGTTCTTCAGATCTCTGTGATTAGTCGAGGTGCATACAAGCTAACTCGAACACGATGGTTAAAAAAAAGTACCCACAAATTACTTATGTGATGGAATATTGTTTGAATGCCTAAATGGTATCTTTTATGTCAATTTTTTGGTAATTTTTTAATATTCTATTCAACATACTTTTTTTCTTGTATCTTGACTAATTCTAAGGGTTTTAAAGAGTATCCAAAAAAAAAATTAGCCAATGAATTTGCATGATTCAAACCGATAATTCAAGCCTCAAAAAACCAAGTTTTATTGTCAGTTGAACCAATGCTACAAAATTATTGATTAGACTTGCTTAACCATCCTTATTAGTGTTACGGGTGAAATCCAACTACTTAATTAGGAATGATAACAAAGCGGTATAAACCGGATCAAATGTCTTTCTACAACCATTAGGTAAAGAAAGTCGGGTATTTAACCTCAAAATCCGTAACAAATTCCATCTGGGTGTAACGTCTTGGTAAGAAACAAAATAGTCGCATGTGATCCTCGGCCTTTCTAGGAAAAGAAAACGTCATATATATGGTATGTTTCTCAAGAAACTGGTACTTTTTGTGAGAACTTAAACTTTAAATATCGTCATTTACCTTTTTTTTACTTGTTTTATCACTATGCTTGAAACTTTAACAAATTCATACATGCAAAATTGATTGAAGGCAACTGAAAAACTAAGATGAAGATGAAACCTAAAAGAACCGAAAAACTCAAACAAACGGTTTAGATTGAGTTGATACATCGGATGTGGTTAAAAATGTGGTTATAACCACTTTTTTTAAAGAATAAAAATATCATCCGGTATTTTGTAAATCGAAAATCAGCAAAATATAATAAAAATTGGAGTGAAACAAATTACACAAAGGAAATATTATTTGATTATTTTTAATTTGACATTTATTTTGATATATTTTTCATATGCTTTATGCGTGTTTCTTCGGTTACAGCATTAGAATAAACAAGTGAATATGGTAACATTCACAACACATTATTCACACCACCTTTAACAATGTGTTGTGAATGTTTATATTATGTGAATGTTATAGCATTCATAGTTTTCATGACAAACTTTTACATTATATATAGAGAGAGATTTGGGATCATATGAGAATAGCCTGCTTTCGTGAGACTACTTTTTTACACTTTAAACTTCATAACAAAATGTTGTAAAGGTAACCTTCACAGTGTTTTGCTGTGAATGTTCGACTTTATTTTACCTTCACAACGTTTTGCTGCGAAGTTTCAAGTGTAAAAAAGTGGTCTAATGAAAATAGACGGGTCTTACGTGAACCCAACCCAATATATATATAATGTGTTAGAATCATAAACCGAAAAGAGATAGAGAGATGGAAAAAGAAAGATGGGTTGCAGTGGAAGATCCGGACCTCCATCAGATGGACAAATTAGTACGTAACTCCAATTTGCAATATATAATTTAAAATACGAAATACTGAAGCTCACGTGATATGGCAAATAATAAATGATAAATACTGTAGATATTTATAAATAAAAAAAAGGTTAAAAAAATAAATTAAAGGTGTGTTTGATACAATGGACAATTGGACATGATAGAACAGAACAAAGCAAAGATTATTGTTCCACAATTGACAAGACTTTTATGTAAAACATATTGGAACAAAGTGGAATAGATTTATATTTTATTAATATAACCTCAAAAGAAACATAATTATCTTCTAAAAAATATCAAATATGACTCACTGTTTTACATTTTATGCATTCTTTAAATTTTATTTATTGTATTTAATGTTTTCTCTAACCTTTTATTTTGTTGTTCTCAAAATATTATATTTATACGGTTTATATATTTTGGTTAATTTATATAATTTATTAAAAATTGGAAACTACGTAAACGTTTTATTTATTTTGTTGTCATTTTAATCATTTTGACAAAAACTTTTTAATGATATATTTTCTTACAAAATATTTATTTTATTATGATTTAATAAAGTACATAAATTTATCAAAATATATAAAACATATAGACAACTCATTAGAGGTAAATTGGTCATTTTATCTGTTTAATTCTGTTTATTTTTGTTTACCCAAATGTTGAACAACTTTGTTGTCTTGTCTTATTCTATCCTATATGTCTGGATATCAAACACACTCTAAAAAATAAATCAATCAAGAAGGTTCAAGAACAGATTTTGTAACAAAGATAAACAAACAAGGCCACAAAACCACGAAAAAAAACACGACCCAAATAATCATAAAACCTGAAGCAGAGAAATAAGCAACATCGAAATACTTTTGCTTCATTTATTATTTTATTTTAAATTTTAAAACTATATATATAGGTTGATTTGAGAAATGATAAATATATGAAAAGTAAATAAGTTATCCTAGTCTCTTTATCTGGTCAACATTTATGGCTTTGACGGTGAAGCATTGGATAATTCCTCGCATGAGTATGTGGAAGATAGATGAGTAGTTTCGTAATTTTTACAAATAGGCGCAAACAAGTTCATATGTGAACCCTTTAATTAGTTAACAGGTTCATATATGAATCAGTTAATTAGTTCATATGTGAATAATTTAATTAGTTCATATGTGAATCACATAGGTTCATATATCAATCCGTTTGCTGCCTATTTGTAAAAGTTATGAAACCACTCTCTCCATTTTTAGCATAGCCTCAATTTTTGACCAGTCAAATTCGATCTTGACCCTATGAAGGATTATTTCTTTACTTCGTAAAATATGTACCACTTCTTAAAATAATATATATATATATATATATATATATATATATATATATATATATGACGAGGATGTTAAAAAGATGACATGACACGATTAAATTTGAGAACTCCATAGTTATTTAAACTCAATTCAATTCGATTAACCTGACATTTTTGTGGATTTAATACGATTAATAAATCATTTACTGATATGTATATTAGATAATTACATCCACCCTTTTTCATATACATGTACTGTAAATATTTTCTCCATATCTATATAACTCTTTCTTATATATACATAAATTAAGAAAAGCAGTTGAATGTGATATAATTAATATGAAGTATGAATAAATTGTATCAATTGATTAATGATAAGTAAAAAAAAGTATGAGTTGAGAAAATAACATCTTCAAGGTAGCCATCATACATAAGTATTTTAACGTAAGAAAGTATCAACCCAACTAACTCAACCCAACTTGTACAATTTGGACCGAGTTGGGTTGTATTTTGGTTTGCGTTGGATTTTGGATTGAGTTAGACGGAGACTTTTTGAAAAACTTAACTTTTGCTACGTCTTAACATTTTGTAATTAAAAGGATTAAGTTGTGGGTAGCAATTTACTAGACATGTTAGAGCATCTCCAACAGATTTTTAAAAAAAATCAAAATAAATAATCAAAAGTCAAAATCTTCAAAAAGAATTATATTCATTTCCAACAGATTCTTCATTTTGAAAAATCCAACATTGATTATAATATTAAAATAATTTCATTATATATATTAAAATATTATTTCTCCTTCTAAATATTTAATTTTAAAGTTTTTTGTTGGTGGTCTCACTTGATAATCATTTTTGGGGTGTTCTCCATATTTAGAATAAAAACCATTTYTTTCTCCTACTTTATACAATAAATAATTTTGGGGAAGCTGTTGGAGCAAAATATTARGTCAAAATATCTYRTTTTCTTTATTTTGGAGAAGTWGTTGRAGATATTTTAAGAGTGTAATAGTCAATTTATAAAAATAATGTTGACTACTGCTAAATGATTAMAAGTTGATTGATAGCTTCGACTTTGAATTCCATAAATAAAATGACAAGTTAACAAATCAAATGATAATTATGATCAGACATGTTACATCGTTATTTATGACAAATTTTCGTATATATATGTTTTGTCTTATAGCACATGACCCTATGTTCGTTTAGAAATAGAGGCTCGTGTTCACATCGAACATATATATCACAATGAATCTTTATTAGGGTATAGCCTTATGTTGATTTACGTCTCTTGCATGGTGTGTGCATACCGAGAGAGAATTATTGTTGTTAAGCTCGATTTGTTAACGGAAAGAATTCGAGCATTTTCCTTAAAAAGTGAGACATGTGTTCGAATTAATTTTTTCGCCTCACATTTTGCTGTGAAGTAGTGAAGTGTAAACTGCAACCATATAAAAKAGATCTTCTTTCGAATTTGATTTAAGTGGCATGAACTCTAACCTTGTAGACTTAGGGGTCGTTTACAAAATGCGAATCAAGTAGGTACTTATCGAGTCATATACCTTACCAGGTGAGCATGATAACAATTGTGAATTGTACTCAATAAGAGACATGACAAGGATCAAGAATTTTACCTGATAAGTAAAGGCAATGACTTTTGTTCGATTAGCGTTTATTATATAAAAGACGTTTTCCGACGATATTATTATGTCATTTGAGGGTCTGAAATGCCCCTCACGTGAGGGGCACATGATTGGGTTAACAGAGCCAAAGTAACAGAGTTAATGGGAGAGACCAGTTTG